TGTAATTCTACAACGTAATGTAACCTCTGACTGTTGGTTTTACACAAGTTGATCAAAGACTTTAGCCAATCTACTTTAAAGTACGGGCCGTTTGATTGCCCTCGTTTCTAGAAAACACTGACGATAAGTGTAACAGGCAGTGATGACGGTGATGACAACAATAAGTGATTGTGGCGGATGTTAGAACTTCTTGAACAACGTTAAAAAGCGGACAAGAGGCTTAAATAATCCTTGGCTCAGAAGATTCTAAACGAAACTAATGTGTCTCGCGACGCATTAGAAAATGGTCCGAGAAATGGTACAATTTACCTCATTGTCAGATCTGATTGCAAATTGTTCCGAGATCGATTCTCCAGCCTGGATTTAATTCATCTGATATAATAACTTGCATTGACGCAAGTCTGTATTATAAATTTCTTTAGTATACCTTATACGTAGCTCGTTTCCCTGTACGGATTCGATGCGCCAGCCCAGTGAATAGGTAGGCACTGTCAGCCTTCGAAAATTTACCTTGTAAATATTTCTCTGCTAAACGAATGCTCTTGTGTTTACCCATTTCGAGCAAACGGCTTGCTTAAATACTCTCTGTCCCTTTAGTTCCTATTAGACGAACGATCGACGAGTTCGTTGACGTTTCTCTGATACGAGAGAATTCTTCGTCCTCATCGACATTGTTCAACATACTGTTTTACCGTTTGCTTGTGCGCTTCTTTCCCAATTTTCGTACCAAAAGTACGCAGCGAAGTAGTAGTTCGCAATCTAGAAATTTGTCTTTAAACATCGAGCCACGCTTGACACGAGTCACAAATCGTAGTTTCCAAATCATTTGGAAGCGGGAACGCACTCGTGGAATGTGAATTTGATTTTCTAAATTTACCATGTGCAACGGTTACACACTACTTCGCATCTAACGTAATGTTACAATTATGATACATCAACCAATAATTTACGTATTCTAACGTAACATCACAATTACAGCAACAACGGTCTGATTATTGACAATTACAGTGTAACATACAAATATAATAGCGAATATAATTACAATCGCTGATACTTATGTAAGGAAATTATGAGACAAGAAATATTCTTATCGTCAATCAACCTGAGAATAATTAAATATTATACTTACTAAAAATTGACCAGCTCAGGCATTTCCTTCTTCTTGCAAAGTCTCAAGATTTATTTAAAAACAAATCCGAGCGCAACGTGAGCATGGATCGGGGGAAACGAGAACTCGGGATGGAACAGATGGAAGGAAGCAAGATCCGATGCGGCGATGCCGCGACTATGATCGACGATGGCCGATCGTAAATCGCGCAGAAATATCGGCGAATAATTAGACGCGTTTGTTACCCCCTTCACGTGCGCGCAATAAATAATTGCCGAAGATGGGCAAACGTTACGGAACTGAATAATTTATGAGACAGGATACAATAATTAAATGACCAATAGCTGGTTATGTAGTTCGATGCGTAACCCGTCCTCCCCCTCCTTTCGTCCTTTTCCCCATTTTACCGTCCGTCGATGCTCGCACGCTGGCGAAACATAGAGCGCATGAAGTAACTTTTCATACTGTTCGGGCCGTGATTACGCGAAATAATATGTCGCTTGTTCGTGCGTAAATTACGGGAAACATGCGAGCCAACCAACCGCTCGCAACCGTCTACAGGTTTTATTATATTTCGCGAGCACGCTGTGTACGCACTTCGGTTCCATATGTATATATATACATGTATCTAGCGAACATGCTCGACACGTACGGGGTTTTAATGTAATTTGGCACGCGGTGGATAAACGTAGCCTGCACGAACGAGCTTGCTGCCAGAAATGACGGAAACGTCGAGATTCCATCGAACCTCTCATTACTTTTTCCCTCTTTTTCCCTTCCTCGTTCTTTGCTCCTTCGCTTTCGTGCTTTTTCTTTTTTCTTTTCTTGTAAGTATTAAGTTTTCACGCTGGTTAAGGGAACGATTAAGTTGACCGTTCTCGTTAAAGAAAAAAAAAAAAAGAAAAAGAAAAAGAAAGAAACGAAACGAAACGAAAGGCGAGGGAAAGTTGCTTTCGTCCAGTTGATATTTCATCATTCGACGCTTCTTTTGATAATGGAAGATTCCAGTTTTTTTCGAGCTTTTATTAATGGGACGTGCGATCTGTGTATTTCAGTCGATTTTCTGCAGACACAAGCAGAGAAAGAGAGAAAATTGCAAAATGAAACTTTGGTAGAAATTTTTAGCTTCGATACGAATATTGGAGTGTGAAAAGTAGTTTCGTTTACAATTGACTGTGAGCAAAGTGTGTATGCTTCTGATAAATCTAAGAAACAGATGATACCTTGAAACTTCCACACAGACTTTTCAAATTGGCTCCAAATTTTACCACTAGACTAAATGTACACAATTTCACGTTTGTACGAATTGAAAGAAATGGATCTACGAGCAGAAAAATTATTCTACGTATTAAATATCACACATTCCTTTCCATTTTCTTTAAGTTCACGAAGATCTCAATCTAGACAATAATCACCCAATTCTCGACGCGTTACAATTGCAAATCTAAACAAGTGAGCAACAACACGTGCATCGTGCCTCGTCGAAAAGTTTTAATTTTAATTTCAATTCTCGACAAACGGGATATCAGTTTTCGAGGAAGGCGAGAGACGTCTTTGTTTCGTGAGATTTCGAAACTTTTCGGAACTGGTTCCGCTGATAACCGCGTTTCGCTCGCCGCTTGTCCAA